CAGTCTCAGTTCGCGATTCTAAAAAATGTCTTGGCAGTCAATCAGGTCAGTTCACTACCTCCAGACTGACAGTTTGAACCGCAAAGATGAACTGACAACTGACTGATTGACTGATAGCAACTCTGGGAGGTTGGGCAGCAAGCCTAGGAGCTTGGATAGCGAGCCTGGATAAGAGGTAGTTGGGAGCCAACCTTGCACTGCAGTTCTTAGCGTGGATGAGCCGTCCGCTTGGAGTTTTGTAACTCGAAACCTTTGGACGATGTGTAGTAACGATGTGAGATTTGTTCCCATCCACAGTCTTTACAAGACTGGCCTCTTGCAAAATCTGCCACAACGAATAGATAACATCCGTCTTTGAATTGGCTTATAATTTCGCTGCAGGCGGTAGGAGGGTTATGAAAGTTGTTGCGATCGATTCCAATCGGTACAAATTGCCTGATTGAGACAGTGAAGTGACGCTCTTTCACATCCAAACTCTGTGGCCATCTATTTTGTCGTAGACTTGATGTACTGAAAGACAGTACACATTAGGGTAATTTTGAAAGTCTTATACCAGTAAGGTTAGATCAGCTGACTCATGACATGCACCTCTGTGTTACCAGTCGCGGTTTCCCTCTTCTTGAATGCAATCAAATCTGACTTTCCATTCCTAGTCCAATCCGCTACGGCAAATTCGAATGGACCGTGGCTTTTGAACAGCGGGGTTTCCGCTCGTAAAATGAATTCCTGGAACGAAGACGCTCCAGATAATACATGCACCTCTGTGCATTTGGTAGTCGTCCTGCTCTTTTTAATGGCGATTAGATCGGGCTTTCCGTCTCCATTCGAGTCAGCAACTACAAAGTCCCATTTCGAATCCGTCTCGTGCAAGGCAGTCTGAGTGTGCAGTTTGACGGTCTTGAAATGATCATCCCCATCCAAAATGTACACTTCAGTGGTCTTGCTTGCAGTCTTGGACTTTTTGATTGCAATCAAGTCCGCTCTTTTGCCCTGACCCCATTTTCCCATGCCAAAAGCCCATGTGTCATCTGTTTCCTCGAGTTTTGTACCGCCTTCAAATAAGATCTTTTGGCACTTGTCGGTTCCAGAGAATATTCGAACCTCAGTACTCTGTGTACTAGTGTAGAACCTCTTGATCATTACGAGATCTAACGTACCATCACCGCTCCAATCTGCGAGAAAGAAGCTCATTGGTCCTGCACTGGATTGTTCAGTCATGGTCCAATTTTCACGCAATGGTGTATAATTTGGTGTCGCTATTCGAAGGACGAAGTTTTGATAGTTGTAAGCTCCGTAGAGGAGGTTGATTTTGAGGTTTTGAAAGTTGGTACCACCTCTCTTCACTGCACATAGATCTGGCTTTCCGGCCTCGTTCGAGTCATTGCCCATCAGGAGGCTGTATTGAGCGTCTGTCTCGTGCAGCATTGTGGGGCTATGCAAAACGAATTCGAAGTGGTTAGACCGAAGTGCGACAAGTTCTGGTTCCTGGGGCATCGAGCCAACAGTTTCTTGAGACTTTCTTATCTTTTTCTTCAGTCGCTCGAACGCTCTTTCCCTGCCTTCACCATAGAAGAGTGACATTTGTATGTCAAATATACCTAGTAGCGAATAGGCCAGATCTTCCTGGCGCGTTGTCTTCCGTCCCTCTGTCCACTTCATCCTTTGGTCGATACTAAAGCGCGATAATGGTGTGCCCTGTAGAGCTTCTGTAGAAATGCCAGTGATATCAGCGATCTCATCGATCAGCTGTGACTTTCGTCCGATCGAAATAGTTTCTGTAGTATAGAACTCAACGTCTTTTGGTGCAAGGAGCTCTTGAAGTGTCCATCCCCTAGTAAACCACCTGCTCTTTTCGAATTCCGGAAACACCGGGAGAGACTCATATGGATCATATCGAACATCTTCAAGATATACGCAGCATTTGGCTGAATCCCTATACCAACGGAACATGCAGCCAATAGCTTCTTGAAGCTCTGCGCTGCTAGACTTATCGATACAACATGTATCAATCCAGAAGAAGTCAAGACCATCCTCAGCTGCTTGTTGTGCACAAAATTCGAGTTTGCGATAACCTTTTCTCTTTCTGTATGTTCCATTGATCAAGTCTTTGAAAGAAACTTCGTCCTCTTCGTTTCCCCAGATGTGCGAAAGGATTACGTAAGGCGGTATCTGCTCATCAACGTGATAGACGAGTCGGAAGCTGTCCTCGCCTTGGCGCTGCAGAAGGCGCATGGTGGGGTGAGCAACGACGGTACAGGCAACCAAGGTGATCGGAGTGACGCACCACAAACATTCAGATAGCACAGAGCGAGCGAAGTAGACAAGGCTCAAAGTGACACGGGCGCGCGTCGGATGGAACACCATTGGGGTTCGACGTTTCGCCTGCCGCTAAGCGACATGCGGGGCGCTAGGAACCGACCTTGGAAGTGAAAGGAACATCTGTCTACTTGTGAATTTCATCGTTCGTGGAACCCTTTCGTTTGGGCTGTGAAGTCTATTGTATTTCAAGTTGGCTTGTCTGCTCTGCGTCGTGGCGATAAAAGAGAGCTGCGTTCAGGAACAAAACGCTGCACAGCAATCTCTCACGTGAGAGAACGCTTGGTATTGCCTCGACATTGGAACATCCACTTCGCAATGTGTTGTGTGGGAAGGACGGTAGAGATAGAAAAGGACAGATAGAATAGAGAAGAGCTGCTAGATGTTCTGCGCGGGTGTCAAGAGCGGCTGACATGGCATTCATTGATGCACTGCAGTTCATAGCACGAACGAGCAGATTACATGGATTGCAAGGCTGAGACCTAGTACGGTGCGATAACGAGAGGAGGGAGGTACGGATATCGTAGGGCGCTATTACATTGTGATCTTCGAACCGGGCAAGCAAGGCCGTCACGAACGAACGAACGGATTAATGAATTGGTCGGCATCACGCGGCATATGTGGAGCGAGCCCGATTGCACTGCAATCTTTAGCGTGGACGAGTGGTTGATTCGGCCCCCACAATCCTTCAGGTAAGACCTGCATGTTGTAGCGTTGTGAAAGCTCCTTCAATCCACACCCTTGGAACTTGCCTAATCTAGACCCCAGCCTCTTAGCACGCAACAAGTGTTGGTAAGGTGGCGAGTTTTACCACGATCCAGACCTGAGCTGGATGTTGCCTGCTTAGGATACATCATGTCTGGAAAGGACGAAAGTTATGCGGAATTTGGTAACAAAAGTGAAGGGACGAAAGAGAATGGGAAGATCGTAAACACAAAAGCGAACAACGGCTTTGCTGGGGCTACCGCATTCGAAAACATCTGACTAGCGCTCGTTTTCCTCTATTGCAGATCGATGAGCAAGTCATAGAAGCTGAGGTCATGGTAGAGAGTGAACAAAAAAACCCACCAGGAACTACGTTGTGTACATTTATCAGAACCCACCTAGGTACCTCTTGAGAATTAGCATCACAAAGCCAACTACCTGTCAGAAGAATAGGGCATAATCCATGTTTGCAATAACCCAGAGACACATTGTAGTGTTGTAGGAAACCACCCCGACCGATAGTTCAGATAGAACACTTCCCAATCAGGAAAGTCCTGTGAAACTATCGATTACAGCCAGGGCCCTTTTGGTCACGGACGCCCCCTCGCAGCGCCAGCAGCCATACTCGCGCCTGTGCGCCCCGTTCGCTCGATTCGCCATATTCGCCCCAGTTTCCCTGATCGCCACGGTAGCTCTAGCAGCCGTAGTCGCCATGGTCGCCCTGCGCGCCCATCGCAAGAGCGTACTGTAATCCACACTCCTTTACAAACCTACCGGATTGGGAAAGAGGAGCTAAGAAAGACGTGTGAGGTTTCTATAACGAGGGGTCAAGAGAAGTGATCAAGATGTAGAACAGTGGAAACACAGAAGGTATTAGTAGGAGGGTCAAAGACTTGAAAACCACAATCCACAGCTTTTATCAAACTGCTCAATTAGGAAGAAAGTTTTGACGTGGAAAATATTCGTGGTTACTATATCCGTATACCACGAACACTCTTACCAACGCTACACATAACACATCCCACAGCCCTACCACCCCGAAAACGCCATACCACGATTCCCCAATCCCCCCTTCTCACTCCCCACACCCCCCATCAAAACTACTATAACTCCGTCTAAGCGGACTCTTCATCTCCGCCACACCCACCGCCTTCCCCCCACCCTTCTCCCTCTTCCTCCTCCTTTTCCTCCCCGGCGACCCACCCGGCGAATTCGGCGGCGAAGAAGCAAAGACATTATTCTTCTGCCCTTGCCGCTGCTGCTGCTGCTGATATTCTTGGTGTTGCAGTTGCTGTTGCTGCTGTTGATTTTGTTGTTGTTGTTGTTCCTCCTCCTCCGCCTTCAACAAGTCAACCGCTCGTTCCACTTCTTCCCAACTCGGTCGTGAATCCCTTGTTCCATTTGGCGTTGCGGGACTAGATTGAGTTTCCAGGACCTGGATCCTGGTGGCTTGGTCTTCTGCCGTGGTTGTTGTCGTTATTGGTGTTTCCGGTTCATTCTGGCAGTCGTCGTCATCATTGTCCCCGGCAGAGTCGGCGTGTATGCCATTCGTGCGAATAGAGTGAACCGGCGGGGGACTAGAAGACGGTTCTCCCTCCGCATCTTCCCTATGATGACGGTGGTGATGTCGGGAAGCGTGTACATGAGGCGACGCAGGACTCGTAGGCGTAGGCGGACTATATTGAATCCGCACCGGACTACGCAGTCCCTCCGTCTCCGTGTCACTGCCGTCCCCACCACGCCTGACGCCACCATCGCTATCCCTCCGGTGATCATGATGATCGCTCAAATGCCCACTTGCTTCACCACTGCGCCACATGTTACGAAACGTCCTGCGCTGCCTACTCATGCCCTCCGTCTCGGACATTCTGCGCGGCGGGCTCGACTCGAAGAAACTGCTATACTTGCTGCCGAGCTGCTGTACAATGGGCATGTCATTGCCACCGCCACCACCACCGGCACCCAGCGTCCCACTGCGAACAAACAGCACCAAGCCCAGACAGAGAAGAAGCAGCGTACTTTGCACAACGGCCATTCTCTTCTGCCAAACAAGTTCATCCGCCAATAGAGTCAATCTCGTACCAATCTCCCCCATCTCACTCTGCTGCCTCTCCTTCATACTCTCCAGCTCGATAACGGTACTCTGCCAGAGCTGATCGTACATGTTCCTAAAGCTCTTCAACTCCAACATGACCGTGCTGTTGAGGTGATCTAGAAACTTCTCCGTCTTGGCCAGTTGTCTTTTTTCCACCTTGACAAAGGCATCGCGGAGAGCGCGGGACTGCTCTTCAATGTATTGGAGCGAGAGCGTGCTATTAGCCTCGAGGTATTGAAGGCGCTTGTGAATCGATTTGAAAAAGGATTCTTGGGTCGAAGGCGCGGGCGCATTGGGCTGGGTTGAGGAGCCGCGGCCCTGGGCAGGCGGACTCGCAACGGTGCTGTTGCTTGATGCTTTGGCTGCTGGACTACCTGAAGACGAAGCGGTGGCGTTGTCTGTTGGCGCTGTAGCGGTGTCAACGCGAGATACGGAGTCTGAGGAGTTGTTCGTGGAGGCGTCGGATGAAGAGCTCTCGGCCTGCGGCGTGCCATCTGTCGGTTTTGGTAGAGGGGTATCGGATGATTTCGGCTCTCCGTAAGCTGTGATGTTCTCGCTTCCGGCTCCATAGGCGCTCGGCACAGATAGAGGTGATGTAGTCGTCGACTCTGGCACGGGCTGATTCTGAGGTGGTTCGTCCGCCGGCTCTGCTGTGACCGTTGGCGCAGGAGAGCTTTCAGACGACGGTCCCGAGTGAGCCTCCGAAGAGACGTCCTCGTTGGCGTCGTCGGTGCCAAGATCCTTTGCTGCTTCAATTGGTATCTCCTCTGGTGACAAAGGCCCGCTGTCCGCAGCCGGCTTCTTAACCTCGACACCATCCGCCTCCAGATCGTCATCGTCATCGATACCCCTTGCCTCCTCCTCTTCCTGTCTAAACTGCTCCATCATCGTCGTACCATGCACCCTCAACACACTGAGCGGACAATAGTACTCGTTTCCAAACTGCGTCAAAAACTCCACCCTCAGATACCTCGCCCAAATCTGCGGCTCCGTGATCAGAAAAGGCTGAATGTCCCTCGAATTGCGCGCTTCAAACGTGCCCAGCGTACGCCACTTTTCTAATTTCACCGGATACCGATCAGAGACGCTGACTCTGAAATGGCGAAACATGGAGGAGAAGAACTCGTAGTTTGCGAGGACAATGGTGTCGACGAGGATATCGTCGCAGAGCTCTACGATAAGGAACTTGTTGTCTGCCGAACATATATTCAACATGTAGCTGTCCTTGTTCTCCACGAGGATAGAAGATGAGCTCTTGGCCTGCTTGTTCGTCTTCAACACCGTCGCTGCGCAGTCGAACGAGGCAAAGTTGAAGCGCTCCTTGCACGTCTTGCCTGCATCTTTGCTCAGCGCCCAAGAACTCGGTGCGACCTTGCCTTCCCCGTCCGCGGCTTTTGAAGCTCCCGCGCTCTGCTTGCCGTGCTGGATACTGTTTGCTACATTTTCTTCCTCTGGAGACCCAAATCCACTAAAGTCGATGGATATCTCGCCTTCATCGCCAAGCGAGTCGAGGGCGTTTACGTTGACGGGTCGTCGCCTAGCAGGTTGGTTCGTGCCTGCTGCTCGTCCCTGTCCGACGTTTTCAGGCGACTGACCGACAGCCGCCAGGTTCCTTTTCTTCCACTCCTCGAAGGAGAGGAAATTGGCATTGTCGAAAGGTGAGTCTGCCTCTAGGTCGAGCTCCGGTTCGGCGGTGCTTGCAGTATTCGTAGTTACAGCAGTCGAGCCAGCCTCGGACACCACGACTGAGGTAGCTCCGTTGTCCACTCCTGTGTTGTCCTCGGAACCGTTTCCTGCCGCGGGTGTCGGAGTCTGTAGACCAGCTATGGCTCCTTCCTCAGCACCTGGGCCGGCGGTCGCGACTGCCTCGCCTGGCGCTGACCAGCTCGTCTTTGCGCATTGCTGCGGGAGCGTGTGTGTGATGTAGTTTATTGTGCGGTACGGGCATGTGCTTCCGCTGCTGGTATACCTCCGAACGGACGACGATGACGGCGAATACGTGGGCGAAGACGCGGGAGTGGACGTATGCTGCGGCGTGGCACCTTCATGTGCAGTAGCGCTCGATTCGCCGTTCGCTGCCTCACTCGCTGCCTCACTCGCTGCTTCAGCGAGGGCG